GTCCTCCCTCACCTTCAACATTCTATGTTTTCTCATTTCTTACCTTCTCGCCGATTCCCCTCCTCCTATCTCGTTTCTTCTTCCTTTATCCACGTCTCAACACCTTTCTGCAGTTGGGTGGAGTCAGGCTATTATTCTTCCTATCGATAACGGCCTAATTTTGTTTCTCCTACACCATTGAGCGTGTTGGTCGTGTTCACGACGGTGGTAGTTCGGGTGTACAGTGTACGTGGTGGTTTGAAACATCCCCATCTTACTCTTGCAGGTGGTTTGAATTGCAGAGCTGAAGCCGTTGAGGCTTTCTATTGGTTGGATTGGGTATGTTGAGGCACACCATTTGTAACTTTCAACTCGATCCTTTAGTTTTGAGTTTGTGGTGCTGGCTGGCTACAATGTCGTTACGGTAAAGAACATGGCCTCTTAGTTGAGGCCTTCGTCATTGCCGTTGGAAATTTGAGGCACACTTGCCCAAATCATTGATTCAATATGTGGATTACTGTTTCAATTTGCTATGTTGCAATCCATGTGGCCTTACTGTTTACAAATCTTATCTTTTTCCCAGTAGGCGGAAACCATTGGCAGCTTTTAGTTCTAAAGATTTTGTGCAGGTTACTCTAGGCTCTTGGTGGCGGGGATGACGATGTCCATGGTGGCTCTGTCGTGTCGTGGGATCTGCAACCAAGCCTCTGTTGTCCTTGCTACCCACACACCCATGTGGTCCTGCAACCCACACCTCCTCCCACGTTTGTACTCGTGACTTTCATGTGGACACGTCATTGTCCTTAGTTAATTTTTAAGTATTTGTTCTGTAGCGTTTTGAGAGGGTTAGATTAGTAGATTTTGTGCTGCTCCTGTGATATGTTTGTGTCGCTTACGCGGTTTACGTGGTTTCGTTGTCGATAGCTTTATGTCAGGGTTAGGACTGTCGCATCTACTGTTTTTGTGACAATGTTTCATGAGACTTCTATTTATGTTGGTTTATTGTGGTAGCCGTATAGGGGTTTAAAATCTTTGCAAGTTGTGCGAACTATCTCCAGATCAAGAAATTAATCACTGAAGAAATTGTACCCATCTAGCACCTCTTGTATTTGCTTGTTCTTAGTAACGAAACACACTATCACTTCTAAAATATATAAAAAAAATAATAATAATAATAAAAAGCCGACTTACAAAGAAGAAAGCATTGGTTTAGGTTTGAGACCTTAAATTGCTAAATTGAGTTGTTAGATTGATATTATTGTGTATATATTTTCTTTCTTATTATTTTGGTCATAATTTTGTATTAAATTGTTGGATTTAATGTATTTTGTGCAAGTTTTGTAAAAAATATAGATTTTGTTTGGAAGTGATTTTAAAATGACTGAAAGTGCTTTTAGCAAAAAAAAAGTTTAGGTTCTAAAAACATGTAAAGTGTTTCATACAAAAAACACATAACTTGAAGCACTTTAAGTGCTTTTTGAGGATCACTTGCATTTTTGTTAAAAATTGGTTCTAAAAACAATTTCATCATAATCACTTTTAGTTATTTTAAAAGTACTTCCAAATGAGCACATAATTATGATAAAAACATGAACTTTAGATTAAAATACGTGACGACTCGAAGATCCGGCGAGGAGGATTTGTAGAGCTGTGTTGGGCTTGTGCTAGTAGTCGAAAGTGGGCCGGTGCTACTAAGCCCAAATTGTGTGAAGGCCTAAATATGGAAAAGAGGAGTGTCAATAGGGAGCATGCGGCAAAAACATGAAAATGAGGAACGACTCTCCAGATCCCATGCACATACATAGCCGATAGAAAGAAGGAGGAAGACATTGGAGAATTCCAAGCTTTGCCAGAGAAATTTTTTAGTGTGACAGAAATACGAATAGTCCATTATGTGTTTTTATGTAAGTGGTGAGAAATTTTATTTTTTAAGTTATTAACTTTTTAACACACATATCTCACTATTTGTATAGTGATACATAATGTACCTCTCCGTGTGCCGGTCACACTAAACAATCTCTCGTGGAGCGGAGATTGAAATTGTGGTTGTTTATTTTTATGTTTTCGAATTTCAGCATTATATTCTTTAATCTTAATATAATGTGTATTCAACTGAGATGCTGATGGATTTTATTGGATTTATAAATATATGGATTTTGATAGAGTTTAATTGTTTTGTTGAGATTTCATGTAAAATTTTGATTCAATGCCCTTAAAATCTCAGGTGGACATATGCGATTTGTGAATACTTAAAATACACTACCAAATCTCTTCAATTCCCTCAAATTCCTCAATTTTTTTAAACTCTTTAAAACAAATTTATAATTGAAGACAGCCTAAAATGCTATAAACTTCTTTAAAATCTAATTCAATGCATCCAGATTTCTAAGGATTGTAATAAACTATCTTAAAATCCTGATTGAATACACGTCGAATTTCAAAAATCACTTAAAATACTAATTGAATACCCCAAATTTATAAAAAGATTTAAAGTCGCTCAAAATCTCAATTGAATACACCTGTCACTCAAAAATACATTTTTTCTAAAGCAAGAAATATATTAGCCGATAAAAGATTTGGATTTAGTACTTTAAATGCAAGAGTGAATGCTTTTAATTAACCATACCAGTTACGAGACCCTTCGGTTAGATGAAATGAAAATACCACTTTCTGTCGTATTTCTATTCACTCGAGTTAGTGGATTTTTTTTTTTTTTTTGGAAACCTCGACAGTACGAGGGAAATTTTATTGATAACGAAAAAAGAAGTAACACCTAGTCAGGGGGGACATAAACCTTACCTCTCATAAAACAGAGATAACAACAACAATACATGAAAAAGAAAGGGGGACATAAACCGTACCCTTCTAGAAATGAAAACAAGAGATAAACAAAAAAAATAGGGGGGGACATGAAGCCTAGCCCCTCTAAAACCAATCCTAAAGGCCTAAACCTGCAAAACAAGTTGAGCAACACCACAAAGTTAGGGAAAAAAAAAAGAAGATAAGACAGACATGGATGCCAAGATGCACATTAATTTGAGAAGCAGTAACTAAACAAGCCAACATAGTCAAAAAACAATACAGCATGAGCTGCGAGTGGAGGAGAATCATGTCAAGTTAAAGTTGGAGAAGACAAACCCACATTAGTAAAATTGTCCGCAACAAAATTTCCCTCCCAATATATATGAGGTGAGTAGGAAGTTATTTTCTGAATGCGGTCCAAACAACTAGACCATTGCGTACGAAAAGGTCATTGAGGATCAAAATCAGACAATTGAAGAGCAGAAATAACACTACAGTTGTCACTTTTCAACCAAAGACAATGCCAATCCAATTGATATGCAAACTATACACCAATGATAATTGTGTAAAAAAAGAGTTGCTATAACCAATTCGTTGGTAGAAAACACTAAGGAAATGACCATGGCAATTCCTGAAAACTCCTCCACAAGCAGCATGACCGAGATTTTCTTTAGATAAACCATCTATATTAAGTTTAATCCAAGGAAACCAAGGAGGAGACCAAAGGACAAGAAGAATAGTAGATGCCTTGCGAGAGATAGGTCGGATCCCCATTGAAGAGATGATCCGAGTGTCAAAACCCTGTGAGTAACCAAGAATAAACTTTCCACTATGAACAATCGCAGAATTGATAGACATGCAGAGAAGATGAAAACTGAGTGGTCAGCCATAAAAAATAAACTTATTTCGAGTCTTCCAAATAACCGCAATAGTAGAAAGACCTGCAAAAAATTAGAGATTGTGCAATTGTTGGGAAAAGGGCGTACGCACATAGATATCCCAAAAAACATCCAAAGAATCTGAAAAAGGCAAAGAGGTACCAAAATGGCATACTAAACCCCTCCAAAGTTGCCTAGATATCCGACAGCCGAAGAAAAGATGAGCAGTAGATTCTTCAGAATTACGACATAAACAACAAATGCATGCCAAAGAAATACCACGTCGTTGAAGCGCACCCCTCAGTAGGAAGTTTATCATGAAAAAGCCGTCAAGCCAAAACAGATAGCCGTGGCGGAATAAAATATCACCAAATAACCTTAGCTCAAGCACGATTACTACGTTTCCTTCGAATAAGTTGATAACCAGAAGAAAAGGAAAACTTCCAGTAAGCGAGAGCTCCCAAATCAATTTATCATCTTCGAGTTAGCGGAATTTGTAACATCCCATATAGCCCAGGGGAGTGATCCTTAAATGTATATTCTCATCCTTACCTAGCACGAGGCATTTTGGGAGCTCACTGGTTTCGGGTTCCATGGGAATTCTGAAGTTAAGCGAGTAGTGCGCGAGAGCATTCCTAGGATTGGTGACCCATCGGGAAGTTCTAGTGTGAGCTCCCAGAAACAAAACCGTGAGGACGTGATCGGGGCCCAAAGCGGACAATATCGTGCTACGGTGGTGGAGCGGGCCCGGAAAGTGGTCCCTCCGGGCCCGGGAAGTGGTCCCCCAGGCCGAAATGTGACATAATTAACTGTTCGGTTCATGATAACACGATACTTTAATTAATCTAATTTTCATAGAAATTTTTCTTATTCAAAATTTAATCAGACACACAGCCTATTTTTTAATTTTAGTTCTCACTTTCTTATTGTTCTTGAATGACACTAACCTGCTTGGAAATGCTTCTTCGTTTTGGACCCGAAATCACATAACAAGTGTTTTTTTTTTTTTTTTTTTTTTCAATAAAAAAAAAACCTTGATCTTTAACCTCATTCCTTGATTAAAAAATGCAATTTTAAGACAGCATTTCAGAATAAAAAAGGTAAAAAAAATTCGAAAGACTTAAAATGAGACCTTAAAAAAGACATTAAATACTTGAAATTGACGAATACTTGACGCAACCGCGAACGACTGAGTTATAGAATTAATACAACTCCACATGGTGATAGTGAGAAGTTTTGTTGCTGTTTTCAAAAGCGTTTTTTATGAACTGAAAATAATTTATTAAATTCCTAAAAAAATTTTATTTTTAAATGACGACACGTGCGGAAATTTGCAGAAACGAAGGCAAAATATGAAAATAGCAACAAAATTCTCTTCTAACAGTGTTTTAAAGTTTCGCGGCTTCGGCTGTACCCCCAATTTCTTCTTCTTCTTCCTTTTCTTACTTGCAGTGCTGCTGCTCAATTGCTCTCTCACTCCATCTCTCAGAATTTAGACGCGCTCCAATTGGTCTGCAAACTCTCCTCCAGAGGTGAATTTCCTTTTCCTTTTTTTTTTTTTGAATTTTCCTTTATTTTAGGGTTATCAAAATTTCGAATTGCAAATAGTGTATTGGTAACGCATTACTAGCTTTAGGGTTCGTTCGATGCTGGGTTTCCGAGAAAACTGCCTGCAGCAAAAGAAAACCCAATTTTTCTAGAATTTATTTCTTCATTTTTATCATTTTAACTTTTAGTGGAAATTTTTGCTCAGCTCGGACTAAATTGCTATGTTTTGGCTCAGTTTTTTGGTGGATTTTATTATTTTAGGATAATTTTGAAATTGATAAAGAAAGGGAAGCCTCGGATTTGAAATTTTTTGTGTTAGAAAGTTGATTTTCTGTTGTTTCATGTTTGATTCTCGGAGATCCAACGCTGATGCCAAGTTTATCTGGATTAGGAAAACCTTAGCTTTGAGCTCCACAATTGAGATCTAAGATTGCATCTCAAAGATTTTCAGTAAAATTGGCGGGAAAATTGACAAGTATAGTTTTATTATATGAGAGTAAAATTCTGAATCTTAGTTTTCGTTCTTAGGATTATTAATCTCTTTCCTTTTGCTTTGTGAGACTTTATATGGGAAAAATACATTTACCCATCATGCACTGGATATCAATTATCATAATTTAAGGCTCTAAAAGTACGCTAGGCGCTAGTCATGCGGCAGGCTAGGGCCTAGCGCCTAGGCGCCTAGGTGGACTAGGCGGATTTAATAAATCTATTATATTTCGTGTAAATAAGTGTATGTTTATGCTTAAAATATATATGATTTCATCATAAACTACAAAATAGAATGACATATCTATTATGAGCTATTGGAACATAATGAAAACGTGGGAACAAGCATATAATGTGTGTTCATTTAGGTATTCAACAAGTCTCTTACAATTTATTGAAAAAAAATAAAATGCAAAATGAAAGTTATCTATTTTCTGTCTAAATGAGTCGCAACCTAGGCGGGGCTAGGCGGTCTAGACGGGTGCCTCAGTAGGTCTAGGCACCCTTTCTTAATTTTCAAATGCCTAGACATTAATTGGGGAGGTGGCTAGGCGCTAGTCGGGGATTTTTAGAACAGTGTAATTTATACCCACTACGAATTAGAGGTTTTATGGTAGATATCTAAAAGGGATGTGTTCTCGACAGCTCCCTGCTCATCCCGCTGTAGCCACCTAGTAGCCTGTAATTTGTCATCAAAGTAACCAAGAGTTTTGATGATAGGGCAATCTTAAACTTTTGTAGGATGATTTGATTTGATGCAGTTGGTGTTGGTATGAATCACTGTATAACCTTGCTTTTTGATTATGATTTAGTGGGCTTATGCTTTCTTCTTCGTTTGTTTCAGGTAACTAAGGAGTTAGCCATGCCCCCAACAAGAAAATCAAAGAGTGTGCGCAAGCGGTTTTCTTATGATAATGAGGCTTCTTCTAAGCATGGAGAGCATGCTAACACAAGTGGGCAGAAAGTAAGTCCTGACTTTGTTTTGTGGATGTTATCATCTGAAATGTTTTTAGTCAATTATCTTTTCGAATTTTTTTTTCCTTTTCGAATACAGAATAACAGATCCTAATTAGTACCTCGTTTCCTTTTTTTTTTTTTTTTTTTTTGTTTTTTGTTTTTGTTTTTGTTTTAGGGTCTGTGTTGGTTGGGGGGAGGGAGATGGGACCATTTCAGTTATTTTAGTTAGCTAGTTATGGACTTTGTACTTATAAGTACTGTATTGCTTCACATGGTTATTGAACGTTGATTTCTGGATCCAACTTCTTTCCTTATGTGTTATAATTCTGTTTAGCTTAGCTTTTAATAATTTTCTTTTGTTTTTTGGAAAACCCCATTTACCATTGTATAACTTTGTCAATGGAAACTAAAAGAATTCTTGATTTCTTCCTCCTTTTTCTGAAGTAACAACTTTGCATTGCCAATCCAGGACTAAGAAGTTATGTGATCAATTTTGGTTTACTTCTTGTTATGTTTATGCAGCTTTCAAACAGTAATCACCTTGATTGTCTAATGGTAGTTTTAGAACTATTTCAATGTAGTAGTTGTTTAACTATTTTTTGAAACTTTTTGCCTGTCCTCTCATGTGCAGAAGAGAAAGTTGTCGGACATGTTAGGGCCTCAATGGAGCAAGGAAGAGCTAAAACATTTTTATGAAGCATATCGTAAATATGGAAAAGATTGGAAGAAGGCTAGTACCAATTTTATGATACTCTTCACATGAATAACATGTTTGGATCCCCAGTCAGCTCACTAATTTACTTTTAATTTGTCTTTTAGGTGGCTGCTGTAGTACGCCACCGATCTGTAGAAATGGTAGAGGCCCTTTACACAATGAATAAGGTATGTGTGGGATATTGTGCAATTTATCTTGTATGCTCTATCTGGATCCATATAGATCAAGTTGTGTCCAAAAAATTTGTTTTAGTCATGGCCTCATTAACTGTTTTGATGTTGCGGCAAGTCCAGCATTGCTTGGAGTTTTCGGTAGTTTGAGAGAAAAATTAAATTGTATATTATGACTTATTTTTGCATCAGGAAATAAGATTTGACGCCATTTTAGTTTGTTGAGCTCTACAAATTGGATACTTTTTTTTTTTTTTTTTTAAATAAAAGAAAATCTGGTTATGTACAAATTAGTTGAACAGAATTCAGTTAATGCTCGATGAAGTTTCGTTGCTTGATTCTTTTTTTCAAGCTAATATGAAAGTAGATGATAGAATTTGAATATGCATATTGTGAGTCAACACATTTATATTTTGTGGTTATAGTTTTACAAACTATGTTGATGCCATAATCTTGACAAAACTTTGTTTTTATCCTGCAGAAAATAAATGTGTACGCTTTTTATGTTTTAATGGTAAGCTTTATTTGTAGCATGTCACTCTAAGAATTTGCTATATTTTCAGGCCTATTTATCTCTTCCTGAAGGTGTTGCTTCTGTTATTGGTCTGACAGCAATGATGACTGACCACTACTCTCTACTGGTAAATTAATTAAAAATTTGACCGAGTTTTCAGATTACTATATGCACTTAACCTCTGGTAGTGTTCCAGTTTGGCTGTTTTAGTATATCTACAAACTCTGCTTGGAGAAAGGAAACTGTACATTTTGTCATGAAATTCGTAAGGAGAAGATAAATGTAGCTAACTCAAGTAGGGAGAAAGAATAAAGACGTTTTTAGGAAATAAAAGGAAAGTGGCCATAGTGCATTGGTCTATTCGGTGAAGGGTTTCTCAGCTGTTAACGCAAAGTTTCCTAAGGAATAATAAAAACCTGTCATTGGTTTATTGCTAAAGGAAACAGTAATGAAGTTCCTTCTTTAACCATGTTGGAAACATATTCTTTTGCTTACATGCTAGTTACCGCTCAACACACTTAATTTTCTGTTTACTTGCTAAGCAGTAACTAGCATGTGAGCAAAAGTTTGTTTCTTATTCACACTTAAAATAAATGCTAATTACTGCTTATTCATGATTATAAGTTATTTTTGTCTGTCTTTTTTTTGGTCTGAGTTACTTGTCATTGTCATGATATGTAATATTTGCCGATTTTTCTATCTGTTTAGAGAAATGATTTCCACACATGCCTTTTCACCTTCTGCACACCCCTTTTAATTTATGTCCTTTGATTCTCTTCTGATTTATTCAGTCCAAAGCCCAGAAATGGAGAGGGGTGTGTAAGGGGCGTGAAAATCATTTCCCTCCATTTATGGTGACCATGTGCATGTATATTATTGCGTAAATGAGTTTAATGATGTTGTACTGTTGATATAAATTCGGCTAGTGTTTTGAGAATCATCCATATGGAAGTCATATAGAGGACTCTGGCCTTGCAGGGAGGAAGTGACAGTGAACAAGAAAGCATTGAGGGTGTAGGAACTCCTTGGAAACCTCAAAAGCATGAAAGGGTAAAATTTCAGACTGAGGTCTCAAAAAGATTTGGACATATTCCAGATTCTTCACAATCCCCTCCAATGGCATCAAGTAACGACTGCTTGTCACTGTTGAACAATAGGCGCTCAGGTGGGAAATGATATGATCTCCGTATGTGTATCATTTGCATTTTTGTTTCTTTGTTTTTCCTTGAAGGAGGGGGTGGCGGGTGGTTTTCTTTTACTCATTTGCTGCTTTGTACTGAAGAAGTTTCGCTGCTGCCTTTTGTGCTGTTCATGTCATATTTTCATATTTAAATATAGTGCAACTTTGAGTCAAATGTGGTTTCTTGTTTGTGTATGTTTGCCCCTTGTTTCTGTAAAGAGAAATTGGTGGTGGTGGATGGAATAAGAAGTGTAGGAGCAAAGGTAGAAACTAGGTTTATATAAATAGTTTTTAATTTATTTATTAAAATCAGGATTTTGGGAATTATCGGGGTTTAATTGTTATTATTTTATATTTCAGGATTACCTCTATAGATAGGGCCTACTGTGATGCAATACAAAATTTTTTGTGAATTGAGATCACAGGGATAAATTTGAACTTCTTTTCTTGCAATCATTCTACTCCTTGCTTATCTTTTTCTTCTCTCCCTCTCTCTGTCTCTTCTTTTCCTCTTGGTTCTCTTCAGAGTTCTCTTTGCCTTTTTTATTCTGTATATATTGGCTTCAAAGATGTTAATGCCATTGATGTTTTTTCTAATCTGTTTCAGGAATTAGGCCTCATGCTGTTAAAAAAAGGACTCCTCGAGTCCCCGTTGCATATTCTAGTGATAAAGATAACAGTAGAAATTATGTTTCACCAGCCAGGCAAGGTTTAAAACCAAGTGTAGACGCCAAAAATGATGATGTTGCTAATGAGATAGCATTGGCATTGACTGAGGCCTCACATAGAGGTGATTCTCCATTGGTTTCTTGGAAATCTAAGAGAAAAGCCAAAGGTACACCACCAACTGTTAGGAATGGTGAAATGATGGTAAGATTATTATTTAAAAGAAAGTTTAACTGCTTTCCTAACAGTTCTTTCATGATAATAGTTTAGTATTCATGGTCGTTTGTGACATATAGGGTGCAGAATCGGAAATGACTACAACCAGGCTCCGTGCTGGTGAAATGGATGAGGGTGGACATGAATTGAGCTTAGGAAGCACAGAAGCTGACAATGAAGACTTTGACAGAAGTAAAAAGTATGCAGTGGGTACAGAAGGTACTGATACTCTGGACTTCCAACGGAGGGGGAAGAGATACTCTGTAAAGAAGCAAAAGGTTGAAAATAAAAGCAATCATTTTGAAGACATTAAAGAAGCCGGTAGCGGAACAGAGGAAGGACAGATGCGAGGTACTATCAAGGGAAAACTTGAAACTAAAGTTGCGAAAAGTGCAAGATCCTTTTACAAGGAACAAAGAAACAAAAGTAAAAAAGCTCTGATTGCAGAAGGTATTTTAGAAAACATTTAAGTCAGGCTCCCTCCCCACTTTAACCTCTCCTTCCCTCTATAACTGATGTTTATGTATACTACTGTCCAACCTGTTTTCTTTGAAATTTTGAGCTACGTACTTTTGATGTGTAGGACAGGTATAGTTGAGTTAGGTTTGTTTTGTGTTGCTAGTTTCTTGCAATTCTCATTGAACTCTGTCAGATTTGGCTTTGGTTTTTGTGTGTGGTTTTCGATATCACCTTTCGATTTGATTGCTCTGTCTTCCAAACAGTTGAAGCATTTCTAGATAATATTCATTCCAACTCTTTTCTCCATGCAGATGAAAACACTCCCTTTGATGCACTACAAACTCTGGCAGATCTATCCTTGATGATGCCCGAAACTGCTGATACAGGTCACACAATTGTGTTTTGAAAAGTAACTTTTACCCTCTTCTGCTAGGAACATTGGGTTTTATCTGAGGTGTATGTATTTAATTTATAAATGTGCAGTTTGTGTTATTCATTTTCTCCTAATGCTAGCATTCAATTTCAGAATTTAAAACTTCTTATTAGCTTACCTGGTACCTTATCAAGGGGTTTGATCAAATACAATGTTTTTGAATTGTTAACTTACCATAAATCTTTCGTCTTATCTCTTTTATGAAAATAAAATAAAAACTGTTTCTTTGTAGTTCAGTGTAGATCTTAATTAGAATTAGACTTTGCATGCTTGAATAAAGTTAACATTCTGTTTGTGTTTGTTTTATCTGTACTCGTTATCAATAGTTTGAGGGATCTTTTGTGACAGTTTGTTCTTAAATATGCTTTCAGATGTCTCAAGGGTTACAAAATCAGTTAAACAGGCTGATTTTAAAATTGTTGCAGTTACTTTATAGATCCTCTTAAACGGTTAACCGATTGTATTTGACTCGACATTTATTTTTTGTTGGTTCTGTCTTTAGAGTCTTCTGCACATGTCAGGGAAGAGGATAGTTATGTTGCTAACAAGTCTAAAACAAAAGGGATTCACTCAATTCCTGGGGTTGAACACAGTGCTTTGAAAACATCTAAACCGGGCAAACTGAAAGAGGGAGGTCACCAGTCTAACACCGGACTGCAAAAAAGAAAGCAATTGTTGCCATTTAAAGTAAGGACAAGCATCTCTTCCCCTACAAATTCGCTCAGTTTTTCTTTACTCGGGATGCTTAATATGGTCCATCTGGTTAGAGCATAAATTGATGAACATTTGTGACATTAATTGCAGGTATACAATGACACAATTCAAACAGACTGTCGTTGGAGTGACAATCAAAAGATTGAGGTGTGCTGTCTTTACTTCCTTTCTCTCCCTCTCACTCTCCCTCCACACCCCACACCCCACACCCCCCCCCCTCCCCCTTCCCCTCCTCTCCTTTTTTTCTTCTTGTATTGCTATTTTGGAAGTTTAGTAACACTTTAAGATCAAAAATATAATTTCCATATTGTCATGTCCTTTCATATGGTAGTTACAATGTGAGTTAATTTTTCTTAACTTTCATGTGCCTATAATTTCTACTAACTTTGGTATTTATCCTTGATTTCAGGCTACAGTTGAGGTGAATAAGTCTATGAATAAAGGTAAACGGTCTTCTCATTATATTACACACCCAAAGCAAGGGAAATCAATGAATCCTCTACGGAATGCATCTTCTTCTACTGATCATGAAAGGGAGGAGAATAATTCTGGATTATCAGCTTTAGGAGTACCATCTGCAAACCAGGCCAACTTACCTGCAAGAGATAGTATAAAATTGAAGCTGGACAGGCACAAACCATCAATAGAGAAGGATAGAAAGTCTACTGAGGGTATTTTAGATGAACAGCCTGATAAACTGGTTCCTTCATTTCGTAACAGCGAAATAAATATTAAGGTAAAAATGTGGTATCATTTATATCGCCACCTTTGGTTTTTTTTTATGTTCTATTTTGTTTCATTTATTGGTGTACGTTTACATTTTCAGGAAAAACTTTCTAATTGCTTGTCTCGATATCAAGTGCGAAGATGGTGTGCTTTTGAATGGTTTTATAGTGCAATTGATTACCCATGGTTTGCTAAAAGGGAGTTTGTGGAGTACTTGAATCATGTTGGATTAGGTCACGTTCCAAGATTAACTCGTGTTGAATGGGGTGTAATACGGAGGTAAATGTCCCTGATCTTCCTCTTTGATTGGAACTTTTCTTTTTAAGGGGCAACTTTTGACTGGAAAGTAATACTATCTTTTGGAGAAATTTTTATAAAGTTGTGCTAAATTTTTGCTTTCGCTTGTTCATGCAGTTCCCTTGGCAGACCGAGGAGATTTTCTGAGCAGTTTCTGAAGGAAGAAAAGGAGAAGCTTAATCAGTACCGAGAATCTGTTAGAACACATTATGCCGAACTTAATGCTGGAACAAGGGAAGGGCTTCCAACTGACTTAGCTCGGCCTTTATCAGTAGGACAGCATGTCATTGCTTTTCATCCCAGGACTAGAGAGATTCTCAACGGAATTGTACTAACCGTCGACCATAGTAGATGTCGTGTTCAGTTTGATCAGCCTGAACTAGGGGTTGAACATATTATGGTAATTAGTTCCCCTCACATAATTTTTGGAAATATTACATATTTTAGAAATGTTAGGAACCTTCTCACTTACCTTCTCATTTCAATCTTTTCACTTCTCCTCATACCACGTATACTCCACTATCACTTAAAACAAAAATTTTAATTATATTAAAATCCCACTACTTTTATTCCTTTGTTAGTATAATTAAACTTTTAGTTTGTCAACCAAAAAATAATTAAATATTAGTTTTGTGTGCTAGTGGAATACATGTAGCATGTGTAGAAGTGAGAAGGCTGCTAACACTCCCATACATATTTATATGATTGAGTGATGTCTTGAATGTGATGTGTATGATAACTTACACCTTTTCAGTTCCCGTTCCTTTTTAATGGTATGTTGTAACATATTTCATTACAGGATATTGATTGCATGCCTTTAAATCCAGTGGAGAATTTACCTGCTTCTTTCACAAAGCACAATGTCAATGTCAATGTCAACAAATATATTGAGAACCTAAAGGAGCTCAAGGGTAATGAACGCCTTAAAGAAGGAAAGACTGAAGGGTATAAGGTTGCCTCTAGTGGCCATGTGGAGAGCACTGTTCCCTGTTATATGCAGCCATCGCCTCATCAGATCAACAAATCATCAAAGCAGACAGAGGTTAGTTGTGAGTTGCAGCTGCCAAAACATGTGGTCTTTATTTATTGCATTCTGGCTTGTACATCTTATTTTTGTATTTTGTCTGTGTCCCTTATTCTTTTTTCTCCACTAACACTGCTAATCTTTTAGATTTCATTGAGGCTGAAACAGAATATCTGCCATTATTGTTACCGGTCTGCGGTTCATGTTACTTGGAATCCTATTACTGTATGCAGTGCCGTGTATTATTGTCCTGTTGGAGTTGTATTGGTATACACACAGCATGCTTTTCACTTTTTCATGTTTTTAGGACATTGTTACCATTGGTCATTTGTGTATGTTGACTGCTTAAACCAAGGAGCTTATATTAAGGCTGTATCTTTATGTGTAGAAAACTTTATAGTGCAAAATAATTATATGCTATTATCTAAAGTTGAAATTGTGGCTAGGGGAAATCATCGAATTTTGTACAAGCTAAGGGTGGGCCCCATGAAACTGCTGCTGCACAAGTAGCAAATTCTCAGCTTTCACTTCCTGTGCAGATCCAAGCAAAAGAGGCTGATATACGAGCTATATTTGAGTTGACTCGTGCACTTGACAAAAAGGTGTGGTGCTTAATATCTTATATCCATCTTAGGTGTTAACCGTTGGAAAAAATGTGTTATATTTGGAGAAAAGTGACTTTACGTGTTCAACTGCTGTCAATGTTGGGTATTTTAGTATTGAGATGATAATTTTGAAACTTGTAGGATGCGGTGGTATCTGAGTTGAGGCACATGAATGATGAGGTGTTGGAAAACCAAAGAGATGGAGACAACTTTATCAGGGATTCTGAGCCTTTTAAAAAGGAATATGCTGCGGTGCTCTTACAGTTGAGTCAAGTCAATGATCAGGTATCAGTATCTGATCGTCCCATTTGTAGCTTCATTCCTTTCCGTTTATCATGTTGGTATTTGATTGCAACAATGCAACTATGAAGCAAGCTGATAGCCTTTCATGCGCAGGTTTCTTCTGCTCTTTTTTGCTTAAGACAACGCAACACATATAGAGGGAGTCCTGCAGTTAGCTTGGTGAAGCCCATGGCAAATTTAAGCGACCCTGGTGGCCATGCAAGCCCTTCTGGGTATTCTTGTCATGCCCAAGAATCGGCAGGTCATGTGTTTGATATTGTTGAAAGTTCAAGAGCAAAAGCCCGCAAAATGGTTGATGCAGCTATGCAGGTATGGATGGTGCTCTTTGATTCTTTGTCCTGGTGCTCTCAATGAGCTGCTGTTATTCAACCAGAAGTTAAATTGCAGCGAGTAAATATCCGTTGGCACTCAGGCAACAATTTCATCTTAATTTCTATTTCAGGCAATTTCATCATTGAGGAAGGAAGATAACCTTGATAGGATGGAGGAGATTATAGACTTTGTTAGTAATCGGCTCTCTGATGACGCTGGCATGCTGGGACCTTCTACTACCCCTGCAGATCCAGTTCGGGTTTCTGAGGATCAGCCAACTGCCTGTACATCAAAACCAATGGAAACGAGTTGTTCAGCTGATCCCAAGTCAAATAGCGTATCGAAGCGAAATGAAGAAAAAGCCCTTACAGACCTTATTATAAATTGTGTTGCAGCGTTTTTGATGATTCAGGTAATTGAGTATACATTGCATAGGTTTTCTGTTGCTGCTAATTTTTCTTGATACGCTTCTCTCGAGTATCTAAAATTTCCCATTTGCTTTAAGCAATCAAATTGTTTGTGGATATAACTAACATAAGAAACTAAAATTCTAAAGGGCCAAGTAACAAATTACATTATACAATGTGGGATTTATCTGTTTATGACCTTTGCTTTTGGTTTTTGCCACATGAAATGCAGACATGTACAGCGCGACAGTTTCCACCGTCTGAAGTCGCCCAGGTATTAGACGAAGCCGTGACTAGTTTGCAGCCACTTTGTCCGCAGAACCTTTCGGTTTACGGAGAAATACAGAAGTGCATGGGCATTATTAGGAACCAGATACTGGCGTTGGTGCCTACATAGTTCCCCTTCACACCCTAAACGTACGTGCTCTGCATATTTTGTGGATCTTTTTTGGCCCTTCTATATATCCCCCTCTCAACCATCGCCAGAATCAATGTGCGTAGTGGTGTATCTTGGAGCATTTTTGTATGTATATAATGATATAAATGTTGAACAAAATCTCTGCATTTTATTTAGCTTTTGGCATTGTAAAACGAAAGGCAAAGTTAACTAAATCATAGGGTATTTCCTTTCCGCTGTATCTCCGGTCCAAACTCCTCTCTCCCTCTAGGGTAAATTGAAGAGAACTTTAACGAAAAGCTCTCGGTATTGTTCACTTTAACGAAAAACCATATTTTTCCTTTAAAAAGTGAATCCTGGAACTATTTACTTACAACATCTTTTTGTTATTTTTGTTAAAACTCAAAGTTTTCAAACTCTTTTTATTAGTTTTCCTTAAATTGAAGTGGTAATTTCTGTCGAGTCTTACAAACAAATTCTCTCGTATTGTTTGTAAAGAATTGTGATATTTTTAAAATGTCAATAATCGCTTAGTATTTATATTTAAACTTAGATTGGGTAGATTTTTTGGTTTGGTTACGAAAATCATCTTTTGCACGTGGTCCAAATTATTAACACAAAAATGTCGCTTGGGTAGCCACCGAAGGTTGACCTTTCCTTTCAATTCTTCTTTTCTTTTCTTCAGTCTGATTTGAGCAAAATCCTAATCTAAATTAAAAACAATTTAGATTTCCTAAAAACCTGACTTTTCCATTTTCATTGTACCCCAAAAGTCGAACCCTCCAAAAGAACATGTAAACCCTAGACTATACTTGGGAATGGGTAAGCTTGATTCATTTGGCCCCATGGACCTCACAATTTAGCTTCAATCATTCCTAAAATTCAAATTTCGTCTCACTTTACCACTTAGTATCATAAGTCAAATGGTATTCCTCTTCACTTGTAAGTGAGAGGTTTTAGGTTTGATTTTCAGTCAAAAACGAATTTGAACCACATTATTACTAACCAATTGTGAGGTTTAACCCACAACGATCCTAAAAGAAAGTTGGCATCAAATGATTCAAATTCCACCAAACTCTGGGTGAATTTAGAGAATCCAAATTTAATTTTACAAAAGATTAAGTTGTAACAAATACACAGCATAACATGGTTGTCTTCATTGAGTTCTCCATTTGCCTGCTACTTACAGTACGTTGAAGGATCAAACCGCACGACGAAGATACGAACGAGGCCGAAAAAAAGCCAATTACATGTCAAGTTGTCAACTACTACAAGTAAGCACAGCACCAAATAACGTCAATTGTTCAGTATTCCTCCACCCCACCATCATTTTGTTCCCTCTTTAGTCCCCCTAATTTCGACATAAAATAAAACTAAAACGAACCCCGCTATTCAGTAACATCGCATCTACATCAGCATCACAATGTATAAATAATAAGGGAGGGGGAAGACAGACAAATTTCTGAGGAAATGAATTCGTATTTACAGGCCTCTTTCTTCAGCCTAAAATCCTAAAAAAAAAAAACCAGGCAAGGCAAAGACGCCAATCCAATTGTATATTGAATGATACGAGATCAAGTCACCGTGTAAGGTACTGGATTCTCTCTAATGAGCAGTTGGGGTTGGAGGAGATGTTGCCCCTCAACACATGCTTGGAGTCGAGGAACACAGAGCCAAACCCCTTCTAACTATTTCATCCATTGCCTTCAGGAGTTAACCGATCAAGAACTTGAAAACGTCACTTAGTGAAACAATGCCTTCAACCCGCTTACTGCCAGCTTCTACAATCACAAGTCGTCTAACACCTGAAATCCAAGATTTGAGGGAAGTTAAGCGGGAAGATTAGCTGGACATATCGTTTCTCCATACGATCATAGCTCTGCAACTTTACCCAACAGCAGCTTAACATTAAGTCCGTAATGCTTCTTTATAAGAAAGTGAATAAAGCAAATATACCTGGATGGGCCAATCGCTCCATCACTTTATGCAGAGAATCACTGCGCAAACACATCTGACATCTTTGACCTCTTGGTTCATAGAGAGAGAATGAGTCTTGCCCCAACTGCAATGCCTACAAAAACAAAGATAAGAACTGCAATGCCTACAAAAACAAAGATTCTCCAAAAGACAAAAACACCCCGGACTGTCCAAAGAAAAAAAAAATTCCTCAAAACTGACAGAAGAGCCACCTAACTAAACCACAACTTATAATTCTCAAAACCATAAGGCCCCTAAATCTGCCAATCCACAAAATAAATGATTGGAATTCTGTCTCTAGTGCATCTGAAAAACCGTGATTCCATAAGACATTTAAGATGCACAAAAGAAAGTACAAGCATCTGTATGGAAACCGAAAAACAACTATGTTCAGGGATTACATCATTTACCTGTTGAATACTCATTTCATTGAGATTAATACCAGCATATGCTCTATCTTTAGCCAAAGCTGTTATGTCACTGTATAGAAAATGTGAACGGAAAAATATTAGTAATGGTTCGTTAAAATAAAAAACAACTGATCATTTATTTCAATCAATGACGACAACAGCAGTAATTATACAAAAATAGAATTACAACTACCTTCGACAATATATTTCCAGTAAAGAGTTATTATCATCAACTATAGGTATTGAACTTACTTGAGCTGCAAAGCAAACACAAAAATGCATTTGAGTTAGCATGATGGGATATACGTCTAAAATATTTGCACACTCCAAAATTTTGGTGTTATAATATAAAGTCATCCATCCTGTGCATTGATGCATAACCCAAAAATTAATCGTAACAAATCCTTAAACACAAGATTAGTTCAGATAACTTGACTCCACTTCCTAAAATAGCAGGCTTGCCAGATGCCAATGCAATGCATGGATGCGTGTACCATTTAATGGACATGGCATCCCACTATAGTTCAAACCACAAGGCTAACCTTGAACTAGCAAGTTAAGTGCTGCACTAAGCGAATCACTTGGTCTCAACGTTGCTAATGGCCGATGATTCGACTCTCCAATTTCTGGAACCCAAGTACCCACATTAAGTGCACATATTGGTGCTCGAAGTATGGGTAATGTGCTAGATGAATGCCTAAAGTACCTGCAAACACCTGCAAATAGATTTATCAGTAGTAGTGCCAACTACGAACTGAACCTACAGTATTATACAAGAAGTTTCCAAAGAGCTTACATTTTAAAATACCAGACAGTGAAGCAAGATGTAATAGCTGTGGAAATGAGCCATCTTCTGAAGATGAATGGATAATTGGAACCGTAGCAAAACCATTTTGCAAAATTTTCAAAACAACATCTTTCATATTATCATATGGTCCAGCCTGAAAAATCAATAATGAACCAGTCTAAGCAAAATTATTAACCTGATCATGATACAAAAACTATCATATAGTCATGCAAGACAGATTATATCTCCATATGAACATTCGCATTTATGCTAACGAGGACTGACAGTGGTTGCTCATGTGACAGCCCATTTATTCCTGTCATACTACCAAAGCATTCAAGTTTCAACTTTGATATTTGTTTTACTTGTTTGGAACTTTGGAGACAAACTATTACTGATTTGAATAGTGACAATCCTTTGAATGCTTTCTAATGATCATCAATGAGTTCGAATTGTATGCAACAGAAGAGTCTGCAACGGCTTCACAAGGAGGGCTGCTTCTGTGTGCTTGCGTACTCAAGAAGCAATTCTCCAAGGCATGAAATCATAAGTTCCTTCTTGTGTCTTTTAAAAAATATTTCAAAATAATTCCAAAACACGCGCAGACACAAAAAAACCTTATTGCATGAATCCCTACAATAAAACATAATGAATATAATATGCAAGATGCATATATTTTTGTATAACAGGTTATGTTCTTTTGCCAGATACCGGCCATGTTATGTTGTCAAATTTTGAATCTAGCAACACATTGAAGTTAAAATCCACCTGATCAATGGTCCATACTGCATTTACAAGACAGAAATTCAAAGAGTGACATAAAGCACTCACATGGACTAACTGTCTGGGCACTGCTCTCCCATGTCCATCAACCTGTCCATTTAGATATGCTTTTCCCTCTTTCCATGCAGCTATAGTATGTGTTTCAAGCTCTTCCTCTGTCAAATTAGATCCATTGTTTCCAAGCTAAAAGATAAACGGTAAGTTAGCTACTTTAAGAAATTAACATACATCACTCAAATAGTCAAATGCGGGTACGTGCATTGCACAAAACTAATAGCAAAATTCTACATAACAAGTACTTGGTCAATAAAATAAGCTGATAAAACTTTAACAAATGTCTGATTCACAATTTCCTAAGAATGTATACGTTATTGAAGAACAAAGTAAAAACAAACAGGAGATTGGAAATCTCAAACTAATATATTTGAGCTTTTGGCATCAAATTACTATCCAAGAATTCAAAATAACAAAGAGATAACTGCACCTTAAAGAACTCACCAGAGAGAAAAAAATCATTTCAGATTCAAACATACCTCTCTCAATATTAAAATAAAATCCAATGCACTAATAACTCCAACAAAACGTCCACTGCTGAAGTCCCAAAGAGGCGCCAAAGGGATTCCCTGGAAGAATAAAAAATGGCTCAGAAAGGTGCACATGCTGGCTCATTATCAGCATCAAGCAAGCATGCCAAACAAAAAAAATAAAAGCAAGTTACCGTGCAAATTTTGACAACTAGCAAAGCTTAGATAAATTCCTTAGTTGAATTGAATTTATAAAAATAATGTGAAAATGTCAATTGAAACAATTACATAAAGGGTGTAATCATGTGAACAAAGGGACCCATAAAGATATCTAGGGGGATCCTCCGGTTATGACATGGAACTTAATATGAGTTACTTTAGAACTTCCACAATGCCCCATTAATAATGATAATAAAGCCACCAAGCTAGAATGTATTTATTTCCTCTTCCAAAAATCAAATACGCAAAGCATGATTCAACCGACAACGACAAACGTCTTTTTCTTTGTACATACCTGCTCATGCAATATATGAAACGCTTTCTTTACAGGTAAATCAACATCCAAGGCAACAACCTGTAAACTTGATGTGATTAAAAAAAGGGAAAAATGGGCCTAATGCATAGTACATCAAATTCATATAGACGCTCAAATGTGGAATGTATAAAGGAAGGCCAATGACAAAGCATCCAAACCTTGCCTGACTCGGGGAGTAGTTCATATGTGGTGTGTGTAGACAGGAAGACAGAAATACGATGACGAGAGCTCTGCAAATCAACCTCTGATATCCTCGGTACTACATCGGTTAAAGTACCATCTGTAATCCGGACCTGTGTTACAAAACAGATCACAATCCACTCTTACTAATAACTCATTGGAGAAAAAATAATTGAAAGAAAATACAGCTTATAGGAGCATTAAATGAGTATTAAAATGCAAGAAAGAATATTTTTTGGGAAAAAAAGGTGACTCAGACCATGCGTAGCCCATTGGACCCTGCAAGGTTCAAAATGTGCAAAGTTCAGCAGGCATAAATTCCCTGAGCAACCTAGTTACTCAAATACAAACAAATCGCATGGATGGGATAATGTTGAAGCACCCCTAATTTCAGTAAAATCATATCAGAAAGGTTAATAGAAAGAGCATTAAATTTCGAGGTAGTAATCATGATCTTAAATGCCGCCCCAGGGAAAAAAACTACAGAATCTTAAATGATAAGGAATGAATGACTCTTACCAAACGCCTAAAGGCCTCATTATCCTCTTCCATATAATTAGGTCCAGAAGTTATCTCTGGGGTTACATTCGGATGAAAGAGATTAGGATCTGTAGCCAAGAGAATGGTGTTCACTAACCCATATTCACCACTCACGAAAGGTTGGTGCTCATCATGTCGCCATTCGCCATCAACAAAAAACTTGTACTGTAGTATGAGAAACACATGCAAGTAAGACTTTGAAGATAGTGTTTAAAGTCCTATCAACGTGGACACTGAACACCCTGTCCTATCAATGTGAACACAGAATACCCCAGTACTAGCATTCTAAAATCAAACTGCATGCAGGCTTGATAAAAATACACACATTCGATCACTTCAACAAATAAAGTTCCAAACTGGTGATCCAATTGAGGTGAACATGTCATTTTCAAAAGGACAAAAAATATAGTTAGTATGTGATATCCATAGATTATTATTAATATTCCTCTATACATCTGTGAGCCAAGCCAATGATCCAGAATTCATATCAACCACCACATCACCTCCTACACTCAAATTTCTCAGAACTGACTCTATTACTTGATATATTACTACTAATTCAGCTTAATCAAGCATCCACTATGGATTTCCGCACTATAAGTTCACATACTATTGCCACATGGAAAATTTAAATATATTCATAGACAGAAATCCCATGAGGAACACGTCAAGAAAGATGCAAAACAAGACAATACTGACCTCACTGCCTCAAACAACTCAGCTTTTTCACATGGAGATTTGAACCTTGGGTGTCTACCCACACGGTCTCACCCCACCCATCCAATGCATCTTGCACCAAGGCTCATTTACAACCATTTTGTTTTCCATAAGTTCTTATTTTCATAAAGTGAACAGGTCACCAAACTCTTAGTTCTTATATACCATATACTTAGCTCATCATCCTAGGACTATAATCACTGAGTGCTTTAATTCAACTACGGTGGGCCACAAAAATATTCCACTTACAAAAGGATATTCAAACTAAAATAATCTTCGTTAACCTTACAGTACTGCATTAATATAGTATAATTCAAACGAAATTTCATAATGGTAATACCTGATATTAACCCTTCATATTTCTTCTCATCAATACCAAGTTTGAGTGCATGAAGACTATGACTTGATTCTACTAATTAAATTCACCTACATTACAATCAATTATTAACAAAACTCAACTACATTACACCTTTTTCCACGGCCTGCATTCAAATTTCTCAACTTTGCTCCTTTAAATGTCAAGATTGATATGATTCATTACAAGCTTTCTCAATGAATCCATCATCTATGATCACCGAATCAACGGTGCATGACTGCTACTGCTCATATTCCCACTCAAAGGTGAAGGCACATGAATTTATGCAACAACAACCATTCAAATGCTTTAATTCCAACACAAAAAACTTACTTGGTGGTATCCAGGGGTTACGCTGTAAATAGCTTGAAACACGGTGGGGCAACCCTCAACTGGCGTCATAGGAATAAGTTCAGACCATCTGCTGCAGAAAGAACATACCATTTTAGAAACACACAACTAAATTACTCAATTTAATCAAACAAAGCAGCCTAAAACTCAGATGGAATTAAATTCCATTTATATATAAACAAAATTCGAGACCGAAAACTCAGAGTCTCACCGGGCAAATGAACCACTGAGAAACACACTTCTGCCCCCATAAGGCCACACAAAACGCATTGGGATCAACACCGTGCTCGGAGCTCCACCAACATCCCGCGCCAAATCCATGTTGGTAGCAAACATTTGCCCCCAAATTTACACAAATTTCAACCCTCCGCTCCCTTTATTTACCGCAAAAACAAAAATTCAACCAAATTACGGTAAAAATCCCAAAATAAAACCAAAAGAAACAAAATTTGAGCTGATTCAACACAATCCCAGAGAAACCCAACAAAAAATTAATAATTTAATGGAGATTTTACTTCCGGAAGCTAAAATGAACCGCAAAAACCCTAAACACGTGGAAATTGGGGGCAGAAAAGAGAACCTACAATTACAACACCGAAACGCCCTCCATCTCGAGAAATCGATGAAAAAGGCAAGTGAAATTAAATTGGGGGAATGGAAACCCTAGCGGAAATAATTAAGATGGAAATTTAAAAAATTGGGTGAGAAAATCGAGAAAGGGGTTGCGACACGATCGAATCTAATTTTCGAACCCTAGAAGACAGAGAACTCTGATAGCGACGTTAAAAAAAAATTCATAAAACCGTGTGTTTTTCACTTTTTTTTTTTTTAATTTTTAAAATTTTTTTTTTCTTAAAAAAATTTACAGAGCAAGGGGACTCCTACCAAAGGGCTCGAAAATATTTTTACTCACCAAATGATTCATTAGATTATTCATTATTAGGAGATGATCTAAAATTTCGATATTTATATAGTGCATGCATACAAATTTTAAAATTTAAATTCATTAAACGATGATAAATAAAATAATTAGTATTATCATAATTTGAGAATGATGAGCAAAAATGCACACAAAAAACTCTAAAAATTACCTCAACTCTGAATAATTAACGACGACATGCAAGTTAATAAAGTGACATAATGCAACTGCTAAAACTGTAGAAAAGTTTTGGAAGACGTGAGATGTCGTTCAAGTTTTTTTTTTGTTGTTTAACCATGTCACGTGGTACAATAAACAATTAGAAAAATAAATAAATTTTCTTGATTTATTTTATTGATAAAATAATAAATACATATTATTTTATATTATTTTTTAAAAATTTTATTCAATCTAATAGGTCTAAATTAAAAGTAGCATGTGCAATCAAATCTACTTTTTATAAATCTTTGAAAAGATTAACTTGCTTTTTAACACGAGAAACAAGTGGGGATAAAAGAAGAATTTTTCACAAATTGAGGTCCTAAAATGTATAGGTGTCTATTCTTATTTATTAAACTTCCTTCCCATCATTTGTACATTTCAGAATCAAATATTTGCTTTTTTAACCAGAAAAATAATAATTCACCAAGGTAACAATTATCATATTATATACATTTGAAATTTAAAGGATATGAAGTTTTGGGGGAATTATCGGTGATTTCCATCGATTAAAAAGGTAGGAATGAATCCAACATAATCATTTTTTATTCAGCAAAGAAAATACAAAGGAAACTTATTTGTTGAAAAAGATGCTATGGTTCTTGCTTCTTGGAAATTGCACTAGAAAATGCAAATATCTAGTTAGCCTCTTGACTTACGCTAACGTGCATGTCAAACGATTTTTTTTTGTTTGCACAATACGGACTATATTTTAACAGTTGTCTCATGGCAAGTGGTCATTTACCACAGTATCGAAAATGTGTTAAGCTCTTGCACGACGGAGTGGGTTCGAACCTCGTCAATAGATAGTCTAACATCTAATCTAACAAAATCTATCATTTGACCAAAAAAAAAAAGTTGTCTCATGAGTTATTCACATTCATAATATATTTTTGATATTTTTATTACTTGTAGTTCTGTTAGCCTTTCTCCCCACATTTTCTCTCTATATATCGAGAAGATGTTTCAGGATTTATGGTTAGGAAATTCCTTAAGCATAAGCCTAAACACTTTATCAATATCTCTAGTGCTTCGAGCTTTAGTGTTGTCACTAAAGAAACTAATTTTAAGATTAGCAACGAGACATAAGAGCAACTTCATGCGTTCTCACAGGCAAGAGGGTGACGGAATCTAGGCAATCAATATTCATTGCATAAATAGTGATTATCCTAATGCAACTCCACCCGTTAAGAGTGGCTCAAACAGTTAAAACATTAAATTACAAAAATTATATAATCTGAATACCTTAAACCTCTCTGGAAACAAACTTTCCAATGAAAGTCCTGCTAGGCTACTACATTTTTTCTCTCTCTTCTTCCATTACCTCTCTTTTCTCGCACAAAACAAAATAAACACAAGAAATACCCAATTTTCTCTCTTCTTTCATCCCCCATCTCTCTCTCAATACAAGAAGGGTATGAACAAAGGGTGTTTCAACATCGAGATTGAAAAAATTCAATCAACTCTAAAGTTTCATACCGTGCGTTATTTAGTACTATAGTAGTAATCATCTTCACTTGTACTTGAAGTAATCTTAGGTTCAAATTTCAAAAATCGTGAGTTTGCAACCAATTTATTCTCTTAGCCTTTAGTGTGAATAACTCGTTATGCATAAAAATAAAAATAAAATTCATAGATGGCAACATATTAGAAAGGATAATGCTAGGTAGACCAATTTTAAGACTAATTTTGCAAATCATGTGATGTGTTACCAATAAAAAATAAACATGTTAGATAATCCAATTGTCAACAACCACGTCGTATAATTTATAAAATTTAGTTTAAATAGAGTATTACCGAAAAAGAAAAAAAAAGACAAAAAAAAAAGGAAAGCAAAGGTTCTTTGGTGTTTTGATGCCCACCACCAACAAATGAGAAGAAGATGGACATATAATGTGTGCGTAAAATTGAATCAATTAGTAGGATTGCTCCGTCGTCGTCGATACATGCCGCAACCAATCAATACTCATGACTGATCAGCGCGTGAAGGTGATGGAGTGGGAGAATATTATTGAGCTGGAACAAGGCAAGGCTTCTTGCTATTACAAAGATGATATTGATGACAAAGAAGCGTTGATTAACTATATCAAGATTGAGTTTCCATTGTTTTTTATGTATGTGCATGTTGAACATGTGATGTGTTGTTACTGCTTGTTTGGTTTCTAAGAAAATATAAGTTAAAAAGAAGGAAATTGAGTTAAATTGCAGACAACTATTTGGCTTGGTGAAGTTGAATTTTTTTCGCTTTAATATGTGTTGTACTCCAACAGTGCGTAGTATGCAGAAAGCTTTGGAAATTGCCAGTGAAGTTTCTGCATGTTTTCGGTTGGCTGGCTCTAGTGTTTTCTCTTTAATGTGGATTGTTTTCCGGGTTCAAGTATAGAAAAAGTTCATAATGGATGACTGTTGAAATATTGATTATGCAATAGCATTAGTGTAGTGAACTTTTGGAGTAATTGAATTTACTATGAAGTACGCTCTTTTTTTTCGTTACGACGCTTCATAGGTTATTAACGAATTTAAACTCAATACTTGTTTTTGTTCAGTATCCAAGAGAACAAAATAGTTACCCCTACAAATTTTCAACTGCTGAGTTGAATTTAGTAGGTCAAATGTTTGTCTCTGAACAATGTTATTTATTTTTCACTTCCTCGTCTCTATCGTCTAGGACCATTCGCGAAAAAAAAAATTCCAAGGTAATCTCAAGATTTAACATTATTGGTTACCAGTATGTGTACAAAACTTATGATGGGTTTTAGCTGCTTTTAGGTAAGAAAGAAGGATAAAACTGGGATTTCATCTGCAACTCTTTTCTACCCCTTTATATTTATGTGAACTTCTGACATGTTGGTTATTGTTCATATTTTCTGGTCTTGTGTATTTAATAACGACACTTATGCTACTGTCAAAAGATTGATAATCATCTAGTGTCGAAAGATGCTCCTCTTCCAAACAAACAAAGAAAAACAGACTTTCTTCAGATATCATACTCGCAGTTGCAACTCCTTTTGTTATAGAAGAAAATTGGGTGTGATGTGATAGTTGTTTGGAGTGGTGGCTACTACCCATCAGTACTATCCGGAGCAACTCCCAAAGAAATGGTTGTGTAGCATGCTTAAATGATCTTTCATCTTAGTAATCAATCGTTCTCTCTTTCTAGTTGTCTTCTGTTTTGTTCTGGTTGTGCAAGTCTTTGTGTCATGTCGAGTTGTTCTTCGTCTGGTGTATAAATCATTACATTTTGCAATTTCCTTTTGTCTAATAGACTCTGTGCCTTGATGTATATCCTGGGATTATTGGGAGGTTGCAATCACGACATGGATGAATTACTGGCGACAATATTAGTTACTGTAGTTTGTTAAGTTTACTGACTTATACTTTTAACTCATTCCTATGTTGAGGTTGTCCAAGTCTTTGTTTTCTCTGACTGGTTTTCTCATGTAGGGTGCAGAATTTAAGATAGTAAGTATCGTGAAAAACATAGAAGTTGAGAAATACACTTTACAATTCTACGTTTAAAAATTTCAGAGTATAGAAAGATAAAAGTAGTTCAAGGGTTTCAAATATTCTTTTCTATTTTATTCTTCTCTTTATGAGGTAATACACACACACACACACACACACACACACACACTACTTCACCTTGTGATACAAGGAATATTAAAGAGAATTATAACCAAACTAGGAAACATAAATACATTCCTATTCCACTTAAACCTCTGACTCATGACAACACTCCCCCTCAAGTTGGAGCATAGATATCTCTTAGGCCCAACTTGTTGAGTGAGTCCTGAAACCTCATAGCTGAGATTGCATATGTCAAAATATTTGTTAGTTGTTCATCTGTCTTTGCAAATGGAACTTAATATTTAGTTTCTCCTTTATGAAATGTCTATCCACCTCAACATGCTTGGTCCTATTATGCTGCACGTGATTGTTTACTATCTCTCATGCTGCTTGATTATCACAGTACAACATCATAGGTCTTTTAGGCTTAAATCTTATCTCAGTAAGCAAAATCCAAAACCATAAAAGCCCACAAATACCATGTGTTATTCCTCTGTACTCGGCCTCTGCCAAAGACCTCGCAACCACATTCTGCTTCTTATTTCTCTAGGTTACAAGGTTACCAGCTACAAAAGTAAAGTAGCCTGAAGTGGATCGCCAATCAGTAATATTTCTAGCACAGTCTACATCTATGTATCCTTTCACTTCCATATGTCCATGTTTTTTTTGTACATTAGTCATTTCCCCGGAGTTCCCTTCAAGTAACTCAATATTCACATTATCGCCGCCATGTGATCCTCAATAAGTGCACCCATAAACTGACTCACCATACTTATTGCGTAAGCAATATCTAGCCTTGTGAGCAACAGGTAAATCAACTGTCCCACTAACCTTTGGTATCTTTCCTTATTTGTCAGGACTTAATCTTGATAGATTGCAAGATGATGATTCTGCATAATAGGTGTATCCACTGGTTTTGACACGCCCTGATCTTGATGTCCGTGGGACATCGGGATGGTCACGTGTTGGCCGACACCTGAGTGTAACGAAAGTTATTTAATTAATGCAAATGCTGAGAACATGGAAAACATGCATATAAATTTCGTT